GACGCTCTTTTTGTCTGCGTCTCTTCTAAACTTCAAGTAAGTGCACCTCGGGTTCTAGGAAAGGTAGAATGTTTTCGTTCAGCCACTTTGAAGAAGGTCCTCCAGATTGCAGATTCTTGGGCGGCCTAGAATCCGCAAGCTGTGAAAAAACTAGTCCATCTGTTTTCATTCGTTATGCAGCACAACAAAATCTTGTCCTTTAGATGAATGAGTCCAAATGTCTTTAGATTTTCGCCTCCAAGGTACCTTTCCACACACAAGTCATTCATACACAAAAAAAAGTGTAAAAATTGGAGGTACTCGCGCTATTAAATATCAATTGGGTGTTGTTGTGGAAATCGGGAGTGAGCAGAATGAGAGAGAGAGAGAGAGAGAGAGAGAGAGAGAGAGAGAGAGAGAGAAAAGATAGCGCGGTCATTTCAAAACGAAAGGTGAAGAGTTAATGGGTAAAAAGGTGAGAATAGAAATCAAGGAAAATCAAGGAAATGGAACATAACATTTTATTTTGTCATTTTCTCGAACCAACACCACATGACCAAGTTCAGTACAGAAAGTTTGTTAGAATAGGAAACTAACGTATTCGAAAAACCAGTTTTTGATTGGGGGTTTTGTAGTTTGATGGTCAAGAATCACCAGAGAGACTAAACCCTATGATTACATCTTTATCTGAATATCGAAAAAAAAATGCTTTCAATTCCCCGTATATGAAAAGACTGTAAAAGTGGATTAAAAAGCTAGAATATTAGGTTGGCGGGAAAGTCTTTGTCACTTTTTCAATAGTTTATTTCTCAAAGAAAAAATAACCGAATAATTAATTATATTGTCCATCATTATCAACAACATGTCTCCAACGTTCCCTCAATTTATGGATTCCATTGCGGTAGAATCCAGCCGGGCGTGAGGCAAAGTATTGTTTGAGTGCCGCTTCGACCGCTCCACGGGAATTGAAGCTTCTTCCTTCGAAGGCACGTGTCATATCGCCAAATAACCAATAGTCGGAAGGAGCAAGATCAGGAGAATACGGGGGGTGAGGGAGAACATTCCATCCATATCCCATCAGCTCCTGCTTCACTTGTTTCGAAACATGTGGGCGAGCGTTATCATGTTGATAGTACACTTTCTTGTCTTTCAGGGCCGAACGGTCGACTGCTTTCTTGAGGTTTCGTAGTTGAGTAGTGTAGAGGTCTCCAGTTATTGTTTTGCCCTCGGGCAGAAGTTCCCAGTAGATGGGGCCGTCCACTCCCCACCACACAGAGAGCATAACTTTTTTCGGATGAAGGCCGGGTTTGGGGACATCCTGTGGGCTCTCTCCTTCTCCAACCCACTGGGATTTCCTGTGGTGATTATCGTAGAAGACCCACTTCTCATCTCCGGTTATTAGCCGGTCCAGCCATCGATCGCCCGCGTGGAGAGTGAGAAGAGTAATCGAATCGTCGACTCGGCGGTCAAGGTTGGCTTGAGTCAGGTGATGAGGTATGAATCGACCAAAAAGTTTTCTCATTCCAAGAGACTTCAAACCTTCAAGGACTGTGCTATGGTGAACTCCGAATGTGACAGCTAGTTCACGGCTAGATTGAAATGGATCCGATTGCAATGCGTGCTTCAGCTTGTCCAAATCCAACTCACGGGGTCTCCCAGAGCGATCCTTTTCATCGAGCGAGAAGTCATCTTTTTAGAAGCGATGGAACCAATTGCGAATAGTATTGTAGTGAGGGGCATGTGTGTTGTACACATTCTTCAAGAAAGTTTCTCGAATCCTTCATTGTGGGGTGAGATAGGAAGAGGTAAATCAAAACATGTCTGATGTGAATAGCAGTGGGAACAAACATATCGTTTTAATTTCAGATGAGGAGCAGGGAAGGAAATGGGGACTTGTTTATATGGAAGGTTCTTATCTCCTTGTTATTCACTAGAGTCGATATCATACACAGCCTCCATATACGAGAATCAGTGATTAAACAAACAGAGTGACAAAGACTTTCCCGCCAACCCTTAATAGTTTCGAAATTCGGGAAAATGATTTTTTTGGTTTTTCGAATTTTTCGGAATTTTTCTTCTGGTTTCCTAGATTTTGCAGAATTTCAACAATTTGAAACTTTGGAACTGGATTTTCGATTTTTCAAAATTTCAGTTTCTTTTTTTTTAAATTTTACATTATATTTGCATTTAATTTCTGAATTTCTGAATTTCTGAATTTCTGAATTTCTGAATTTCTGAATTTCTGAATTTCTGAATTTCTGAATTTCTGAATTTCTGAATTTCTGAATTTCTGAATTTCTGAATTTCTGAATTTCTGAATTTCTGAATTTCTGAATTTCTGAATTTCTGAATTTCTGAATTTCTGAATTTCTGAATTTCTGAATTTCTGAATTTCTGAATTTCTGAATTTTTTTTTGCACAAAAATGTCGAAATTAAGGTCTCTCCAGAAAACGAAAAAGAAGAAGACGTGACCGCGTCGGAAAAACAAGAAACGGGAAGAAATGACCAGCAGCTGCTGGAGAAGGAGCCGTGTGGAGCCAATTTTCCCAAAAACTGAGCTCTTTCTCTACGGAGCACCCAGGAGCACCAACTGGTCCATATACCCCTCTCTTTTATGGCTTGTCCTCCCCCCTTCGGAATATAGACAGAAGCATGATGTTCCGTTTTTATATATTCCCTCAACCTCTCTTTCACTTTCTCAGTAAGAAAAGAGAGAGAGAGAGAGAGAGAGAGAGAGAGAGAGAGAGAGAGGCGCAGACAGTGTATGAGTGAAGGGTCCCTTTTGACCGGGACACCCGGGAGTAAAACGAAGGGGGCACTATTAATGAAGGATGGAGAAGAGGAAATGGCAGAGAATGAGAGATAAATTGCGCGGAGGGACGCAGAGACCAAAATTTCGGGATGAAAGGGTTTAGAAGTGTAATTGAATGAACGCGTGGAGAGAAGGAGCACAAAGTGCTCCAAATTGTTCGAGAAGATTTGAGGTTGGGTTTTTAAAGACAGTTTTGGGAAATTGAAATTTTCAGAATTTTTCTGGGAATTTCAGAAAGTTCGAGAATCCACAAGGAACTTGAAAATTTAGATTTTGTATAAATCGGCAAATTTAGGATTTCATATTTTTAAAATGTTTCAAAGTTTTCAGAAATTCTAATCTTAAAAAATTGAAAAAAAAACTTAAAAGCTTCGAAATTTTCGGAAATTCCAGAATCTCAGAGATACTTAAATATTCAAAAGTTTGAAAATTCTGAAAATCCGAAATCTACAAAAATCTGAAATTTGAATTGATTGGATTTTTGAAAACTCTTACAAATTGAAAATAATGAATTCTAGAAAAGCGAGAGTCAAAAAAACTGAAGATTTTCGATACATTGGAAGTTCAGATGTTCCCAAAAGTCGATGTGTGCAAAATTTAAAAAAAAAACGTAAAAAACTCCCAGATTATGAAAATTTCATAAAATTTTAAAAAAATTTCGAAAATCGAAAAATTGTAAATGCGCAACAAATCATGTCGTCTGAATTCGAGAAAGTTTGTAAATTCTGAAATTTAGAAAATCCTAAAGTTCTGAGATTTTTAAGTTATTAAAAACTTCAAAAACCAGAAAAAATTAAGATTTTTAAAAAATGTTTTCGATGCATAGAAAATCGATTATTTCATGTTCCTGGAGAGATATCAAAATGGTGTCAACTGATAAAATATATATCATAATATCAACAATATTTTGTTAGTTGACAACTTTTTAGAATCTTTCCCAGGAGCCGAGATAATTTGGGTCGAAGTTATGAGACCCAAAGAGGGAGGTGGTTTGAGGGAAAAGATGAGAAGGAGGTAATGCATATGGGGAAGATGGAGAAGACAGTGTTAATTGGTAAAATGAGCAAGGATTGCTCATTGTTCTCGGTGTCATCTAAATAATGAGATGTTATAAGGACAACAACGAAGCCACAATAGAATTTGCCAACAAAAATACTACTGTGAACACCCTAATACTTTGAGCTCATATATCTCATTTTCTGTAAAAGATATCAAAACGAGATCAACTGATAAAATGTTTATCATAATATCAGCAGCAACATTCTGTCAGTTTATCACTTTTTTATATCTTTCTCAGGCACCGAGATAAATTGACTCAAAGTTAGGATGTTTGGTTTATCAGAAACCGAATGAGGAGCAAGTAAATCAGGTTGTTATAATTGAAAATTTAAATTACGCGTTTTCCAAAAGTTCCAAAAAATCCCACAGAAACCGAAAGACTGGAACTGTCAATTCTCTCCCACACACGTGTGGTCAGTTTTTTTGGCTCCGCGCGAGCTCTTTTTTGCCATTTGCTCAGCGTTGAGCAATCTGGTGCGGGCAGACCTCTTCCGGAACGTACGTAATACCCTTTCTCTCAACATCACAGTTCTTCTCGTCACCTGTTTACCGACGATTATGAGCTTTTGTGTCTTTTGTGTGCCCCGCTTTTTTTTCCACCCCGAAAAGTGCTCAGTAGCCGATAAATATTTTGTGTGTATGTGTATGCCAATTGATACTCAAGTGACCATTCCATACTCATTTGATACGGGATGAAGGGGGAGAGGAAATTGGAAGCCCAACCGTGTAGCTCCAAAGATAGGATGGTCTATATTCTTGGACCAAACAAAATGGTATAAAAAGACCTGGACGAGTACTACAAGTTCATACATCCCGAAAACCTTGACCAAAAATTATCTAGGCTCCTAGGAGTGAAAATTCTCCACACTTTTTTGGTTTACAAATGCCGTTTTTGAAAGTTTGGTTTTTTGACTTATAGTCCCTTTTTTTTGGGTTTTTACATAATTTGAAACTCATCATAAACCCACATTTTGTAATTTAGATTAATAATGAGTTCTAAATTCGAAAAGGTATAAAACCAGATTGAACTACATATTTTTCTATCCAAGATATGATTGCACTTTGAACTCAATTATCTCAGTTCCTA